CACCTGTCGTCTTTACAGTGTAAATGATCCCAGTCATGTTTAACCTTTCCTCATAGCCAATGCCCTCGAGATCTGGCAATATCTTGGTGAACTTTCTCTGCACTATGTCCAAAGCTTTCGCATTCCTCTGGTAGTGTGGCGTCCAAAACTGCACTCAATACTCCAAATGCAGTCAAACAAGCATTTTATGAAACTGCAGCATGATTTGCCAAGTCTTGTAATCCATGCCTTGCCAACGAAGGTAAGAATACCATATGTCTTCTTAATCACCTTGACCACCTGTGTTGCCACCTTTTGGGAACTGTGGACCTGGAAGCCCAGATCCGTCTGTATGTTAATGTTTCTAAGGGTTCCACTGTTTACAGTATAAATCACACCTACGTTTGATCTTCTAAAATGCATCGCCTCGCATTTGTCGTGATTCAGTTGCCATTTCTGTGCCCAAATCACCAAAATATCTATATCTTCTGGTATCCTTTCACAAGTGTTGTCACTATCAGCAACTCCACCAATCTTCGTGTCATCTGCAAATTTTTAAAACACCCACATTTTCCTCCAGATCAGTTATATATACTAAAAACAACAGAGGGCCTAAGAATGGTCCTTGTGGAACACCACTGGTTACCAGTCTCCATTCTGAAAACACCCTTCAGCTGATACTTTCTGTCTTCAATGACCAAGCCAGTTTTGTATCAAGTTAGCCAGCCACTCCAAGTCCTACATGATTTTAGTTTTTGTACCAAACTGCCATGTCAGAATTTCTCAAAACCCTTACTAAAGTCCGTATAAATTACATCCACGGCTCTTCCCTCACCAATTATCTCAGTCACCTTTTCAATGAATTCAACAAGTTTGGTGAGACATGCACTTCCGATACAAAACCATGCTTCCTGTCACTAACTAATCCATTTTCTTCCAAATGTGCATGTATCTTTTCCCTTAGTAACTTCTCCAAGAGCTTTCCCACGATATATGTCAGGCGCACCAGCCTATAATTTCCTGGAGTGTCCCTGCTTCCTTTCTTAAACAAGGGAACAACATTGGGTAATCTCAAGTGTAGAGGAAGTGAAGACATCTGCTACTGCCACAGTTATTTCTCGCTTTGACTCTCGCAGAAACTTGTGATAGATCCTATCTGGTCCTGGGGATTTGTCTACCTTAATAAAATTTAGGATACCCAAAAATTTCTCCTTCAATAGATTGACATTCGCTAGCGTATTCATAAACTCACCACTGACCTCAACATCAGTCATGTCATTCACCTTGATAAATACTGATACAAAGTGCTCATTAGAATGTCTTCCACTTCCAATTCCACTTCAAGCATAACTTCTCTCTTTTGTCCTTGAGAATACCTAAATTTTCCCTTGCTACCCTCTTTCTTCTAATGTATGAGTAAAAAGGCTTAGGATTCTCCTTGACCCTGTTTGCTAAAGACATTTCATGACCTCTTTTAGCCTTCAAAATTCCACGTTTAAGTTCTTTCCTGATTTATTTATATTCTTCAACGACTTCTTCCGTTTGTAGTTGCCGAGACATATTGTATGCTTCCTTTTTCCTTTTTAATAAACTTGCAATTTACCTTGTCATCGATGGTTCCTGAATCTTTATTCCTATCCTTCAGTCTTGCGGGGACATGTATGCCCTGTAATTTAGTCAATTTGTCTTTTAAAGTCTCCCAAATGCCAGACGTGGTTTTGCCCTCAAATTGCTCCAATTCACATTTCCAAGTTCCCGTCTATTTTGGGCGTAATTTTCTGTTGCCCAATTAGACATGATCCCCCGAGAGCCATTCTTGTCCTTGTTCGTGACTATTCGAAATCTTATGGAGTTATGGCCGCTAGCTCATTCTCTAATACCAAATCTAGTATGATCTATTATGGGATAATATTAGAGATGTAGGGTGTTAAGTGAAAGTATTGGTCACATGGAAACTGCAGAGATTTAATTTTGAAATCATAATGATTAATGCACGAAGGGCCTTCAGATGGTTGACTTTGTATTCGGAGTTTCCAGAACGGCGAGAGTTAACAAATGTCCTTGTTCAATATGAACAGAGAATTCATTAGGTCAACAAGCACCTAAAACATAGCTTAGAGTAAAACATTGTCTTATAGAACGCTTGTTCGGTTGGCAACTGAAAGATGGTCATTTTAATATGATGAAATGATGCAATGGTGCCCTGCAAACTGAGGAAACACCAACTGCAATGCGTTCAGTGGCAAGCCTAGTGTAATATTGTAATAGGCATATATCAGTGCAGCGACAATTAAGATAGGATCCAGTGCAATATGAACTCAGACATGCGGTGAATAACATGTTTTACAAAAGGAGCAACGGCACAATCAGTCAAAAAGAAACAGAAATTGTGTTCTGTATGATACGAAGAGAGGCATATCTATTCCAATTAATAACTGAGAATGACTTAGAGCAGTTCAGCAGTAATACAGACAGAGTCAACGTAAAATGTAATTAGTCCAATGCAGTAATAACCATAACAGCTCCGAGGATAATAGAATAGAATAGCACAAAACAGTATTAGCCAGACTGAGCAGTCCCCTCATTGTCTTGAATGGAGTTCAAACACTTAAACGAGTTTTGTGGGGTCTCTTACGATCATATTAAAGTGAAGGGCAACGTAGTAGAGAAATCGGAAAAGACAGCGATGGTAGAACTGAGACAAGAGTGAAATGAGTGAAGGCAGAAATAAGGTAGGGTGGGAGGAAGGAAGGTAAGAATGTAATGTATTAATAATGGTTAACCATAAAACCAGCCGGAATGGCAACCTCTTCCAACAGCCTTTCATTCTTTCAGTATTTGCAACAGGGATCTATCAGAGCTGGAGAATAGGCATAACATATCTGAAGTGCAACTCACATTATGATTCCACTGAGTAAGACAGTTTTACATGCTGTGGTGTAATTCCGATCGAAGAGAAACAATATGAAGAAAATCTTCAAATGTTAGTTTTCAACATTTTTCCTAACTTATAAACTGTGTTTCATCATTACCTTGAAGCCAAGATCAGGTTTGAATTCCTGATGTGTAGAACGAGAATCTTTCAAAGTCTCAGATCAGATAAAGCCCTGAGAACAATAGAGTCAATGTCCCAGCCTCTTGAAAAAAGGGGAAAATGCCTTCATTGTCTCTGCTCAGTCCAACAGTTCAACTTTCATTCTCCGCTGATTCCCGTTCCGAGGGAGCTTCTAAAGATTGTCAAAGCTGGAGGCTAGACTTTCTGAGACAACAAGGCGTAGAGCTGGATGAACACAGCAGGCCAAGCAGGCCAGAAGAAGGGTCGAGGCCCGAAACGTCAGCCTTCCTGCTCCTATGATGCTGTTTGGCCTGATGTGTTCATCCAGCTCTACGCCTTGTTGTCTCAGATTCTCCAGCATCTGCAGTTCCTACTATCTCGTCTAGACTTTCTGTTCATTTCATGTCCCAACTCACAGTAACAGTTCTGATTGTCTGGAGAAGTCGCTTGAGTTCCAACGAAAGATGCCTTTTTTTTCGGAGAAACTTCTATCTGGTGATGAAGAGCTGAAGTGAAGAAGTGGCACAAGTAGTTGGTATAAACGTGGCTACAAACAGCACTGCTAACTTCACCGGTTGTTTAGTGGCCGGGATTCAGTGCTTTCACTGTTGCGGTCCGGGTCCTCATCAGGGAAGGGAAATTTACGTGACTCTGTTAATGGTTAACGTTTATTAGAGTCTTCTCATGTTTAGAAGATGAAACATACTTTAGGCAACCAAGTTATCAAGACACGTAAAAAATGTTTTTCGAAAAGTATCATGGTTTTTGTACTACTTCCGCCAATGGAGCCCCTACAGGAGTACGTTAATATGCAGCAGGAGACAAATATGCGCTTTTTTCCCGATCCTGTGTAATGCTTTAATCTCTGATGTAAACCCCTCAGTGCAGAGTTTGCTTGGTTTTTGCTGTTGTTGCTGTTAAGAATTCCTAATCATTTTAACAGGTCCTACAAGAACGAAAAGTCCTTCTTCTGGGATGAGGAAATCAAAGCCAGGACGCAGTGCTGAAAGCACTGAAGCCTAACTACGAAACCACCAGGGAGCATGACATTCACACTCTCAACTGTTTTTAATGACATAGTTTCTCACCTTTACTTTTTATCTCAATTTCTTTTCACTGGAGATAAGTTTCTACTGTAACATGTTCGAGTAATTGAGTTTTTACAGCACGGTCAGAGGCCCTTCAGCCTATAATGTCAGTGCTGGTCATCAAACATCAGTCTATTCTAATGTCAGTTTCCAGCAGCTGGCTCATAACCATGTGTTTCTTTTGACATGCAAAGTGCCCAACTAAATATTTCTTCAATGTCTTGAGGGTTTAAGTGGAACACAAACAGTTCCTTTAGCGAATAACAGGAAACTTATTGTTTTCTGGAACATGAAATCCACACTTTCCACCTTGAAGGCAGTTCTGAAAACCCGAACTCTTTCTCTGAGCTGTTTCTTACTTTCCATAATATGTGGCTCAGGCTCAGAACTTTTCCTCTAATATCCCTTGGAAACGCATTGGGAAGCCATATTTTATATTGTGTCTATTAAAGAAATGTCATGTCTCTGCAGAAGAGAAGTTGACAGAGACAAAAGCTCCTCTTGCGTCTTTTTATACAGATATTTTTCTCCCTGAAGTTTTGATCTCGAACGACACACAAATGGGACCTAATCTCATTTTCACCCGTGGAAGGAAGCATATAGACAGATGCCACGAGAATAGCAAAGGCATCAGGAGGAACCAACTCTCAGAAAGCAAGGTTTTCACCCAATTGGCTCATTGTTGTTCCATTCCAGACTTCAAATTTCCTGAATTCTGATGTTCAATGGAAATAAAGGAATTCAGAGATTTGAGGCAGTATTTATCTTGAGTTTTTCACCATTACTTCTGTAGGGACCTGGTTCAAGTCAGATCGGTCAGTAACAGAGTCGGTAGGGTATAATCCCACACTTAAAGAAGCATAAACTTTACCACTCGGTCATGCTTGCAGGTTCCAGATCGAGCTATAGTAACCTGAGCTGCCAATGTCGTCAGAACTTTCTCGGAAAAGCTTTGGCAGTATATCACACTGAAGGGCAGCAGGATGATGGATTATACAGACAAACATCCAGTCAGTAGCTGTTCAGAGTCACAAATTCAGATTATTGAAATCACAACTTCATTTCAACACTGAGGTATTAAACTGGACCAATCGGCAAGGAATGGGTGCAGTTGGGTGATGCATTAGTTTTTGCTTGAATGTTAAATAGAGCTATAGTTTGAGAACATTGTTTGTCCTGTTTTTCATGGGATTGATCTCATTTCCAATCCTTCGTTGTCTTTCGCACGTATGGCTTTGGTATATCATCAACTTCAACTTTCACTCCTTATTGTGTTGGTCCTATCACAGCACCGTTCGTAAGTGATTGAATGGTTGACATGCTGTTAAAGTCACACACATGGACTTTTTCACACATACAAATTTGCTCACAAACTCAGAACAAGCGATACATATGTTCACACACGGAGAGATATGCTTATACACGCACAAACATGCTCCATTTCTCATGCATGCACGCACAGATATGTTTGCACACACACTGATATCGTGACATACTCACAGATACATGTGCACAAACAGACACGTGCTCACATAGAGTCAAAAAACAAAATTAGATATACACACAGACACACACACATACACACAGAGACACAGAGACACAGAGACACACATACACACACACACACACGCACGCACACACACACACACACACACAGACACACACTCTTTTGTGAAACTCTGCTCTATATATCATAAGAATGATGATGGGACAATTTTAGGGCGTGATGTTTGGACTATTGTATTCATGACGAAAGAGATAAAGCGTTTTATGTTTGAAAATGAACAGGTCTTTGATTCATGGGGCGTAACTTCAAAGTTTGCTCATGACATTAAAATTGCCCATACAGTAAACAGGGAAGAGAATGACAGTAGGCTTTAAGAGTTTAGAGACAGCCTGGTGAAATGGACAGACATATGGAAATAGAACTGAAATGTGTTGAAATGTGAAATGATTCTTTTTCGATGTTGCGTGAGGAGAGACGATATAAACTAAATGGTCGTCCATTTAAACGGATGTAGGAACAGAGAAGGACTTTATTTTAATTTCGATTACTTTATATAACTGTCTGATACTGTATGTGTCTGCGCCCCTTTTCCTGCGCCTTTGACCCCTCACACTTACGCCACACAGCACACCAATATGGTCCTGCCTCCCGTATACAAGTGAGATTGGACACATCATTGATTACAATTCTAATGACTAAATAATGGCTATAAGGCATGATTCTGTGTGCATGACTGTCACACAGTTGTTAGATTGGTTGTGGGACAGGTTTTGAAATTGTGGCACAAGTCCTTAGATGTCAGCGAGGTGGATATACAGGTCCAACAGGCATGTATGTCTCACTGGAGTTTCTTTTGTTCAAGTCAATTCTTCGTGGTTTGCTCTGCTAGTTGATTCGACAGTTCAACGTTCATCATATTACTGTGTATCCGGATTCTCAATTTAACCAGACAACGTAAAGACAGCACCCTTAGTTAATGAAAACAATGAACGAAGTGGGTCTTTCAGTTAACAGATATACTTTGAAGGACAAATTATGGAAACTACTTTGCAATTCCATTTTCATTCATTTTATTTTTATCAAATTAGTTTTCAAATTCGTCCACGAGAAGTAGGCATAACTATATTTGCATTTACTGCCTAGGTAACAATCAAGTCAAACACATCTCTGTGGGTCTGGAGTAACTGGAAGCCCAGATCTGATAATGACAGAAAGTTTCCTTCCCTGAAGAACATTAGTGGCCAGGTACTTTATTCTTAACAACAAAAGACAGTGCTTATTTGGTTACCATTAGACTAACTTTTGTTGTTTAATAAATTCAGATTTCACCATCTACCATTTAAACTCGCCTTCCTAGAATGTTGTTCATTCAATTGCATTACCATTACAGCATCGACCTGTTCTAGATTGCACGGGCTATTGTGGTGCAATTCAAACGGTGTACCCAACTCAGCAGACTGCACCATTGAATAAATAACTGAGTCACAGTTCCACTGTGCCAACATCAATTAATTTCCTCGCACTTCAAATGTACCTGAACATGCCATTGTTTAATTGTCATTAAGTGGTTTGCTGGGAATTTGATGAGATAGGGATTTATCATTGCACATACTGACCACAAAATGTGCATTTAGCAAAATTGTGACCTGCAGAAAATGTTGCCTGCATTGAGAGATATCTTGGTTTGACTTGATGTGGTCAAAATAATTGCTTATGATCATTGATTGATTGATTGATTGATTGTCATGTATATCAAAATACAATGAAAATCTTTGTTTATGGGCGGCATAGGCAGATCATAGTAAGAAAAGGATGTACAGATCAAAAAGACTTATACAGAGGCATGCAGGTTAAGTTGCACATGGCGTGCACTAGGTGAGATCATCGTTAGCAAAGTCAACGTTATTTGGGGCTAGACAGTCCATTCATCAGTCTGATGACGGCCGGGATGAAGCTGTTCCTGAACCTACTCGTGCGTGTGTTCAGGCGTCTGTATCTTCTGCCTGATGGAAGAGGTTGTAGGAGACCATTACCAGAGTGCGATGGGTCTTTGATGATTTTAGTAGCTTTTCCGTGGTAGCGAGCCGTGTCAATGGAGACCATGGATGGAAGGTTGGCTTCCATGATGGCCTGGAACGTGCACACCACTTTCTGTAGTTTCTTACGTTACTGGGCAGAGCAGTTGTCAAGACAGGCCATTTTGCACGTAGACAGTACGCTTTCAATGGTGCATCTGTAGAAGCTTGTGACGGACCTTATGCACATGCCAAATTTCGTGAGCCATCTGAGGAAGAAGAAGAGTTGTTGCGTCTTCTTTTATGTTGCATCAACATGAGATGTTCAAGACTGGTTGCCAATTATCATCACTGTAAGGAACTTATGTTTTTTCACCCTCTCAACATATAAGAGAGGCAGAGTCCATCCAGTCTCCATGCCAAGGATGAATATTTGAAAGAACAAGCTGGATAGATTGACGCCTGTACATTTGACCTAAAATTTGACCTTATGAAGCATTTATTCAACTAAAGTTTGAATTTTACTGGTGAATCTAGTTCCAGCTTCCAGTAACGTAGCAGATTCGAAATCAACATTAATTTGTTTAGAAAAAAAAAACAAAGGAATTACCATTTTCATAGATATCCTTTTTCGATCATAGAGTGGAAAACGGACTTCTGCAGTGCCAATTGTGGAAGTACTATCGATCCAGATCTAGAGAGAGGTCTCCTCATGTTTTATGGCATGAATTGACCTCGAAATCATTCAGAAGGCTGATATGGACCCCAGTGTCATTCAAAGAGATTACATATTTGATAGTGCCACAGTCCTTCAGTATTGGCTACCAGGATTTGTTTTGTAGGGTACAGCCCTGAATTATAAAGAGTTTATAATTCCAGTTTTGGAACGGGATTTAACCCCCCCCCCCACTTTATGATACATGTGAGCAAGATAAACTTCCAGGGAGTTATCCAGATAACGGAGAAACAGCAACAAGAGTTACAGGGGAATGAAGCTTGGACAGAGAGATGTGAACATTGTATTTATCTCACCATCTGAAGCTAGCAATGACAGTCACATTGGGTCGCAGCAGCTGTTTGTTTATCTCCATTAGGAACATTTTCTGGGTGACTACATAGATGAAGACGTTTTTACAGGAACTGAATACTGGGAACATATTCATCATCTCTGAAATGATGTACTGCCAATCATTGAAATCCAGATCACTGAAAAATACCTCATTCGGAATTCGCACGTGTAAGAAATGTCCAAAATAGTTGGCCCATGGGAGGAAGAAACGAGGAGAGATGCTGATGAGCAGGATAAATGATCTCTTGAGGTCGACCCTGAACCTCCTGACGCTTGGCTGGTTGCAATTACGTATTTGACAGTCAGGGCATTGAGAAGCAGAACAAGTAGCAATGGTAGAAATGGGGTAAATATTCGGTCCAGCCAGTGGTAGGCCTGACAGGCGGATGAGTTATCAAAAGTGGACCTGATGCCACAGAACTAGCTCACGCCATCCAGTACGTACAAGGGTTGGGAAATGAAGTAGAAAGAGAGCTTCGTGATGCAGCTGGGTAGACAAACTTCCTCTGAACAGCAATGCAGTTTTCTCAGTGAAGTTTCCTCAGGTTCTGGCAGCAGATGGCAACAAAACTGTAAATAATGAAAACCACCATCAGCCAGATGGACAATTCCGTGTGGCAAAGACCAGGACATTATTGATTCTACACGATGGAGTGATGGACAGGACACTTCCACGAAAATGCATTCCGCCGATCCTTTTGATGATGGTGACAGTGATGTTGACGAGGAAATCAGTCACTGCTATCGCCACCAGGAGATGATGCACCGGGAAAGTTCACATCGTTCCAGGGATAGAATGACAAACGTCAAAAAGTTGGCTTGCAGAAAGAAAAAGTGGCATTTCCGAGTTTACATCTAACACCAAGTATTTCCTCATCAAAATTAGAATGAAACGTACCATATTCCTCCCTTTGCCACGTCCTGATTCTGATTATTGCAAAGCTAAGGCAATTTGTCAGCATCCAGCATTGGATTAAACAATTGTCAGGGAGTCACTGCAATCAGTCTGTGACATAAACTGCTCTCTGGCCACTGTGTCAATTCTGTGTTCAAATGCTGCCTGTTAGCCCATCATAGACAACTGCTGACCAGTCACGTATTCGCATCAAGACCCATTCAATAACAAATCCTCTGTTAGCAGACCTACATTTACTCGTCATCTGGCAAGCTTTTATTTTCAATAATCCCTTCAATCGAATTTCTAAAAAAAAAAACTCGATAGACTCGAAATTCCCGTCCTTGATCATTTTGCAGTGATCACGAATTTTTGCAGATCTACAACTGCGCCATTTTGATCATGTCTGATATTAACTGCTCCACCAGCGGTGGCTGTGCCCTTGCCTACAGAGATTCCAATCTCTGAAATTTCGTCCGTTTATGGCACAGAATTTTCTTTTTTCTTTAGGATGTTCCTCTTATCCTGACTC